AAGGCACAAAAATATAAATTTACAGTTTCCATGGACTCTTCAGCTTTGGAATGTACCACATTTTGGCGGTCATTTTCTCGCAAATTTTACCTCTTAAACCAGGTAACCCCCACCTCCTTCAATCTAAAATATATCCACTTCTATTGAAGATGGATGGGTAATTTTTTCATTGAAAGCAAGACAAATGAACAAGCTTTAAGATGATACCAATAACTCAATATGACCAAAAATTGACGAGAGCCTGATTCCACCACGCTGCCTCACAATAATACATCCCCTCCTTCCCCCCAAAAAGATAAGGAAATGAAAACAAAAACATAACTTTCATACCCCCAGTGAGAAAAACATTTTAGTCCAATTTTGGGTTTTATTATGCTCTTTCTAAAATTGAGAGGATCTGTCAGTTGATTTGCTGGTGTCTAGAACAGTGAATGTCAGTTTTGATAAATAAAATGTGAACACATACAACAGGATATATTTTACTTTGATCTGCTTATAATCCGAATCAGACTTTTAATGCCTCGCCTATCTTGAAAAGGTAATGTGCAGTTTTATATTTTGCTCTATTATGATAATAAATATTCGTTCAGTTGTGTTTCAAAGAAAATAAAGGCACGCCACTATGCATAGATCGCTGTAAAAATTTGAGGTTGAAATTATTCTGCTCCCCCCACCTCCCACCAGGGCAGTGCTATTGACTGAAGCGTCTTCAAGCCATTCCCAAAGGGAGGATAGTAAAATGCTCTTATGTTTAGTAGAATTGTAAACGGGCTTATTTATCCATGTCACGCTCATACTGTGCCCGAACAACATTGGGGGAACTGCCGCTTTTTCGTTCCTCATCCTTACTATCGTTAATTTTTCCTCTACTACTTTTGTATGTTTGTCCGTCTCTTGTGAACTGCTATTTCCTGGGTGCCTTGATAATCGAAGAAGACTTTGTGCGGTTGGGGCTAGAGAGGTGAGCAGAGTAAGCCTGATTCCCCGTTTGGGCTTCACTATTGACATCCACCCCTTGGCGCTCATATGACCTTATGCAGTTGCGAGTGCTGTAAAACCGTACTAAAACTTAGAAAAAAAACAACCCCAACGAAGTTCTTCTTAACCGCCAACTCTCCTTTGCTGTGTTGAATGCACGACACCATAACAGGTGGCTGCGCAGAGATAAAAAACCGTCTTTACGATGATTTAGAATGAAATATTAGAGATAAAATAACAAAGGAAACATTATGAAATTTTAATGGTTAATATGACATTCAGCAAATTCGTCAAGGTGAAATAATCATAGAGAATAGAAAAAGAAGATATTTTAATATATTTTAACCGACACCCTCTAACAGGAAGCAATTCAGCCCACATATCTGAATGTTGGTATGAGAACTTGTTAATAAAGAACAGATTTGTCAAAATGTAGGTATTTTTACGCCCGCATAGATGTAATTTAGTTGAAACGAAGAAATCTGGTCACGCCCCATTCATCCCATTGTGATCAGATTTACAAGTGCTGTGACTAAAACGTACACACATAATTTACTCATTGACACAAAAGTTACAAACAGATCTAGATGTATAAATATCATTGGAAATTCAGACCACAGATCTAGATGTATAAATATCATTGGAAATTCGGACCACGTTTGCTGAGATGTAAGATTCCATCCCCCTCCCTTTCCTCGTTCCACGCACACACACACACACCCACACACACACACACACACACACACACTCCCACACACTCTCTCTCACACACACACACACACACACACACATATGCGCGCACGTGCACGCGCACACGCCCGTGTACAAAAGCAGACAGACACAAACACAGACACCCACTTGTACATCTCTTCATTAAAAGGATGAATACGTTGTCATTGAGATAGCAGGCTAGAAAACGATTTCTTGTCTGATAAGCAGACTGTACCACATTTTAACGAATGCTTTATCTAGAATCCGTCACTGCACCGAAATAAATTACGATAGTTGGGCTTTCAATCTTGCTGCAAATCCATGATCAAACTGATTACTTCCACGACTCTAGACCCTGATGGTAGATGTTAACAAACGTGCAACTCCAAAAGGTTATACATAGAATTAGAGGTCTTAGCTGTGATGTAACGAGTGTCAAACTTGAGGGGCACGCCGCCATTTCCGAGAGGAATAAAAGGCCAGTCGGCGCTCAATAGATTATCTCAAAATAATGTAAATAGAGCCTTTTCCACGGTGAGACTATATGGGAGAATTAAATTCAGAAAAAAATGAATGAGATGGAGTTGATGTTCATTTGTTAAAGTAAAAACCATAATTTCATTGAAATCTTTCGCTGTGCGCCGCTCAAACAGTATGTCTAGATTTAGCACCGCTGACAACAACATAAGGCGCTCGTATCGGCCCTCTGGAATCAGGAATGTGTCTGAGAAGCTGCTAGAGGCTTCAGCTGCAACTCTAACACACCTTCAAGGCTGGCTGAACGGAAAATAACCATTGTCGATGTTGTTGAGATGAGAGAAAATAAAGTAGCCTTCCAGGCGTAACTACCCACCAATATGACCGGCGTAATGTTCTGTCTCATTTGCGGAACCAATTCCAAACAGCATGTGAAACAGCAGTAACAGGGCAAACACCATTGTCAATCAACGCCAATTTTTGAAAATACTGTGAACGTTTAAGATAAACTGGCCATTTATCTAAGTGTTGCATTTTAGAATGTTGTCAGTATAATAAAATCATTTGTGCTCGATATTAAACAACGCTCTTAGGGTGTACGCACTGGATCCATTCAATGAATGATTTAGAGTATCCCACCCTACATTTAATTTCTAATTTTGAGACATCAAATTAATATATTAAATAATTAACCCAGTCCCCCCCCCCTCAAACTCTATGAAGACCTAGGCTTTGCATCATTAGAAGGAGAGTATAGACAGCATGACAAAAAAGCAATCCGTTTTGTAAGTATGAAATTGTCCTTTTTCATAACAAAAGTAAATTGTTCACTTTGTCTCCCTCCGCCCCTCCCCCACCACACCAGGAAAAAAACCCTCCAAACAATACCTCATATTGTATCTCTCTGTTCATTTGTAGCCCATATTTAAGTGCATATTTCCCACAATCGGTCAGTGGGTGCGGTATTGTCTATGCGTGTATGTTATATGATTTAACAACAACAGCAAACAAAAGAAAATTACAAATATAACTGAACTGAGCTTCAAACTCTATAAAGACATAGGCGTTGCGAGGGACGCGCAGCGGGACAGCGCTGTTTCTAATCCTCTCGAAAATGGCGACCAAGCGAGCTGAGTGGGCCCGCACGCAATCGTGAGTTTACGTGGGTGACAGCACAGCTGCGATCTCTTGTACTATTATAATCTCTTTGGTGCAACTTCTTATTATTACAAGGTGGATTATGCTAATGGATACATATATTTTTTGGTAAATGTTTTACGGCGCTCACTACTGCATAAGGTCATATGAGCGCTCGGGACACACCTAATACTTCTAGTTGGTAGGAAATTTTTGAACTTTGCCTGGGTGGCGGCCGAAGCCTACTCTTATCGATTTTAGACCACAAAGGGATCTTTAACGTGCACAACTTGCACACGGCCCTCCGAGATTTTTCGCCCTTGTCCGAGAAGGCTAGGTGTAGATCTTTCAAACCAGATGATCAGGGTTGTGGCAGAAAGACAGCAGTAAGAAGGAGTCAAGTAGTAGCAGTAGAAAGGCTGCAGAAAGAGTCAGGAGCCCAGAGGAGGGGGCAAAGGAGGTAAGAGGGTGGGGGCAGAAAGAGGAGATGAAAGCAGACGAAAGAATATTTCTAGAGAGCAATAAAGGAGGTGAAAGGAGACAATTTTAGAGAAGAACATTTTTCGGTCGCTACCCAGACTTTTGAATGAGAGGCCAACACCTTAACCTCTAGGCCACGAGAGCCCCTATGGATATTTTTAGGTGTCACAGGGTCATTGAGTACAAATAGAGGGCAATGGAGACGTACGAGAAAGCTGTTAGAGGAGAGAAAGTATTGTCGATACCGAAAGAAGAGGATACCTTGGCGGAGCACGCATAATGTCACAAGGGGATAGAATTATGAAAATGACACTTGAGATGTAAATCATTGTGCAGACTACATTAATGACAAAAGTGATTGCGTCATTGTGAAGCTCTTAAAATTGTAAAATAGTCTTTTTTCAGTATTTTCAGGTTGGTTGTGTGCGATGGGGCTTTCCGATGTTTTAAGAATGTATCGTCTAAATTTTTTGAGCTGCAAATCTTTATTTATTTTATCAGGCGACTTAGCAGCGTATTTTGACAGTGCTGCCAAAGAAAGTGGGGAGTGTTTGTTTGAAACAATCGTGCATGCTACTACTAAATAATGTCGAGATCACTATGGCTTTCGAAAGTATGACAAAGACGCATTATTATGAATATGTGGGTTAGAGTACTTATGTGAACTGGTTCTCATGTCCAGTTGTATTTTCTGTGACAATGTTATATATATATATATATATATATATATATATATATATATATATATATATAGACTCTAGACGTGAATTTTTTCATCTTGTGCCTCAGTAAACATATATATATATATTCTGATTGATTGATTGATTAATTGATTACTTGATTGCGTGATTGATTGATGGAAAAACTTATTGCTAGATAGACTGATTTATACATAGGTTGCTGGACTGGTTAATCGATTGGTTGATTGATTGATTGACTGTCTCATTGGTTGATTCTTAGTCCGATTGATTGGTTAATTGTTTGCTAGATTGTTTGATAGGTACATTGGTTGACTGATTGATTTATTGATTGATTTATAGATTGATTTATAGATTGATTTATTGATTAATTAATTGATTTATTTATTGATAGGTTGATTGATTGATTAGTTGGATGATTAGTTGATTGACTGACAGGGTGTTCAAAGCCCGAAACATTAACTTAATAGAAGAGCAGCATGCCAAGATAGAAACCATGTGACGTGACCCGTGACTCACCGTGGCACTGGCAGCTCCAGATGGTCCAGGTGGTCCAATCAAGCCTCGCTCTCCCGGCTCGCCCTGTGAGGAACAGACATGAAATGTGAGGAAGCGTGGTGAAAAATCAGGCGCTCGTAAGAATAGTGAAATCAAAGAATCCGGCATTTTTCTGGACGTTGGGCAATTTTGGTCGAATTATTCTTTGCTGTTTTGCTTCAACAACTTTTCTTTTCTTTTCAAAACATATTTCTGCTTGGATGTTACTGGAAAACGTTCATTAAAGGCACAAAAATGTAAATTTCCAGGTTTCAAGGACGCTCAAGCTTTAGAAGTCACAAAACTTTGGCGGCCATTTTCTCGCTAATTTTACCTTTCATATTAGCCCATTCCCACCGCCTTCAATTGCAAACAGTTTGACTTCTATTTAAGATAGGTGGGCTTTTCTGTCGCCAAATGCAAGACAAACGAACAGGTTTTAAGGTGATATTAATAACTCTTTATGCCCAAACATTGACGGGTGCCTGATTCTACCACGTCGAAATACAAATGCCAAAGCCGTTCACCCGATTTTATATCTTTCTTTCGCATGGTATTCTGTCTATGGTAGTCAATTTTCCTTTTTTTTTCAATCTTCACGTTTTGCTAATTTCTTTTTTCACACTGTACACTTAGTGACATAATATTTGTATTATATATATGTGTTTGGGTAAGCTAAGGGGGAACATTAGACAAACAAAAAGGAGCAACAAACTAACAAAAACCAAAACAGAACCAAAACAAGAGGGAAACTTGTCATCTCTCCAAATATCATAGCACTATTGATTCCCCAAAGCACGTACAGAATGTTCCCTTTGTTGCCCAGCAGGGAGAATGCAAATGAGGAGATTTTGGCCTGTTTATCTCTCTCTTTATCGCCAGGTTACGTCATACTTCATAGCTGGGCAACGAGTGAAAAATGAAATGTCCCGGTGGTCGCAGGGTCTGACATTGCTATGAATAATACGAAACACACTCATCATTGCCTTCTTTACCTACTGCTTAAAATGTTTACGATATTGACAGTTATTGATAGCGGTTTCTATTTTTAGCTTGTTACACTTATATATAATAAATTATGTTCCGGACTTCTCTTCCTACTCGACGTAATGACTGTAGAAGCTGTCCGGAAAACGAAGGGCGTAAGTCACATTTTACTTAAGTTGGCGTTTTTAGCATGACAACACATATCAGGGAGTCCACATCGTATTGCAATTAAAGTAGATGTCTTGAACACATCAGATATATGGCCTTTACAAATTACTCAAACATGACTTGTAAATTATTTGATGCTGTTTTAAGAAAATCGAAAGTAAAGTTTCTGTCCCTTGTTCAGTTTCTTTAAAAGACAAGGAGAGTTTTCTCTATATAACCAAACAAATATACATACCAATGACACCGAACTTCTCCCATAGGCAGGGAAATACCCACTTTTGATGTAGGTCAATATTTCTGGAAACCTCCGAATTCTGGGTTAGCCCGCTTGTCCTTAAAAGCGAACATTTATGCTTGAGACCAGCTGGGTTTCTTTTTGTTCTTCTTTTCAGGTTATTTATTTTCCTCTCGAAACGACATCAAGGGGTCTAGATCTAAGCCTTGTAATTTTTTTTTGGCCACGTTCAATAAAACACGACAAGCACATGTTTGCTCACCTTAACACCGTCTCTGCCTCGTCTTCCTTCTGGTCCGACAGGGCCCTGGGCGATATAAAGACAAGCATGTAACGGTCATGTCCTTAATACCAACACACACACACACACACACACACACACACACACACACACACACACACACACACACACATACACACACACAAATACACGCTATTTTTAAATATCTATCTCTCTCTCACTCATACGCACACACACACACACACACACACACACACACACACACACACACACACACACACGCACACATACCCAAACACACATGCACTCTCCCTTCCTCTCTCTTTCTCTCGCTTTCTCTCTCTCTCTCTCTCTTTCGCTCTCTCTCTCTCTCTCTCTCTCTCTCTCTCTCTCTCTCCTTCTCTCTGACCCCCCCACATACAGATACACCCACAAAACAACACATAACACATTCAATCTATCCCCTATCTACTCACGGATTCACTTAAATAGCCTAAAGTTGTTGATAGAGGCGATAAACCTATGTCATTTCACTATTTTCACTCACAGGTTCTCCCTGAAAGCCGTTGTCACCGCGCGGTCCTGGTGTGCCGTCCAGACCCTGAAAAAACAAGGAAAAGTGTAAAGAAAATGTGTTTCGACATAGAGGAAAGAGGCACTCGTCAATTTTTTAGCATGTGGATTCATTGATATAATTTTCAAGCCTGTATATTTGTCCTGCTCTCGGTGAAACCAATACCCATTTGTCTTGAATAGAATTCGAGATATTTTTAGTACCTTTTATCACTTTTCCCCAGTAATGTTCTCTCAGAAATGTGTTCTTAGATAAACATAAAAGGTGCTATACCCCCCTCCTAAAAAAAAAGGATAAAAATTGCCAAACCGGCGGAAAATGAAGTTTCTTCTATTTCATTATTCTGACGAGTGCCTGATTTCACCACGATGCTTAACAAATCATCAACTCGACGCGATAAGAACACGGTTTCATAGAAACCCCAAAAGAAAGAAAAATAGCGAAACGATTAGAACTCTTTTGACGGACGCAGGCATTCACAGCAACTTATTCTTTTAAGGTAGGTGTGTTTACTCCCACAAAGACACAATTTATATCCTAAAGCCGGCTTCAGACTCTGCTTGCCAGGGCTAACCCGGGCTTAGAGGGATACATCGCAGCAGAAAATAATAGAGATACTCGAGGAAATTTCTCCCCACTTTAACGTCGAACCCACCAGGCCTCCTTCGTGCAACAGAGAAGCGGCCTAACCGCTACACCACAGACAACGAAATTCACAGTAGCATTAATAGGAACAAGACAAAAAGCAAAGCCAGACAAGAAGCAAGATGAGCTGCAGTATCAATTATAGTTACAAGAACAATTTAATGATGCTGATAATTTCAGGTAATTATAGATGGGCTTACACCCCCATCGATACAGTTAGTTTAGGTCATTCAGGAGACAGGTTGGGTCGACTCTGTCTGTCAGGGCCAGCCCGGGCTGAGGGGGATTAAAAAGTCCCAGGAGGCTTAATAATGTTGATATTTAGCATACCCCCCCCAACCTAACCATATAAGTGAGTGGGTGGTTGGCGGGTGCTCTGGCGGGGTTTGCTTCTTCTTTCCTATCAAACATCTATCATCTTTATCACTCCTCCTTCTTTTTTGTGTTCGTCACTCTCTTGTAACACCTCTAATCTTTTGGCGCTCATATGACCACTTGTGCAGTTGCGAGCGCCGTAAAAGCTCTTCTAAAACTAAAACTAAGAAACACGAACAAGATAAGTAGAATCATCAACAATAAAACAACAATAAGAACACAAAGACAACAATAACAACAACAAAACAACAATAATAACATCATCATCATCATCATCATCATCATCATCCACAACAACAACAACAACAACAACAACAACAACAACAACAACAAAATACAGGTCGGAAAATACCAAATATTTCAAATAAGGTATACCTCAGAAATAACAAAGAAAAAAACAACAACAAAACAACAACAACAACATACCCCCCCTCCCCCCCCAGCACCAGAAAGCATTACCACGATAACATGAATTAATGAATATCATTGACGAACTGATATTAATAGCCTATAACCCCCCCCCCCACCCCCGTCCCAACCCCCATCCGTCAATAACAGCATTTGCAGTATTCGAAAACCTCAACTTACGGGCTCTCCTTTCTGTCCCGGTAGTCCACTTCTCCCAGGAAGTCCACGCTCACCCTGAGGACAAAAATGTATGTGGATGGTAGTTGGTACTCTAAGTAAACACAGACTCTGGGATGGATTCTGAAGAGGGGGGGGGGAGAGCAGAGATGGACATGTTCCGACTGCAGTGACCCCAACACAGTGGACAAGTAAGGACAAGTAAGTAAGTAAGTCTAAGTAAACATTAATGATAATAATAATTGCATTTATATAGCACATGTCCATGCTCTAGAGCATGCTCTATGCGCTTTACAACTATTACTACCCCAGCAGACCCTCTGAAAACACTCAGAAACATTCTCGACTTCCGCAGTGCAAGCTGCAGATTTCACGCGCTCAAACACTATCAAACTGACAAGATCGTTCACTGTCTATAGCCGGGTACCCATTTCCACCTGGGTGGAGTGAGGAAAATTTGTGCAAAGTGCATTTTCCAAAGACACAACGTCGGGTCCCTGACGGGATTCAAACCTCGACCTTACGGTTGCGAGTCCGAGAGCCTAACCACTAGGCCACCGACGCTATTACTTTCGACGGTCCATGTTTCGAAATAAAATTAGTACATAAACATGTTTGGGGGATGAGGCTTCAGCGAATCATATGTAGAGCGACGGAGAATAAGGACTCCCGGAAGTGACTTCGAGCTCTAAAGGAGAAGAGAACAACCTAACCTTTACACCACAATACAGGTTGTCACAAAAGTTGCACATAAATCCTGATTTCCATCAAAAACAGTTTGATTGATACTAGTCTATAATAAATTCTCCAACTGAGCGCCCTCCACAAAAAAACAAGTGTGGACTCTAAAAAGACCCCCACCCAGCATTTTCTTAATACATCTGAGGCTTTCAGGTGTGATCATTTAGCCCTCGATACGTAGATTATATGAAGAAGATTTCAAGGATGGTGCAAAACATAATTTGGAGCACCCTGTAAGTGCAAATGCTCAAAATGTGGCATTTCAGTCGAGCTGATTGTCATGAAGGCCGGAGAGATACTGTTTGAGTGAGGTAGGCAGCCTACTTGCACCATGGAGGGATCTTCTATAGATGCGTTTATGTGTTCATGTGTATATACGTGTGTGTCCATAAATTGTATATACATGACAATGATTGGAAACATAAGTAATA